CCCTGTTGCGTTTGGGCTGCGGGGAGGCCGGCTGGGGTTCCCTCACACCAGATGCCCTGTTCCCGTCCCGTCAGGGCCCCGGCTGCGGATGCGGCCCGCACTCCGTGCGCGTGTGGGGGGCAAACGAGGAGGGGGCACGGGACCCGACACCCCAGGGCTGGGGCCGGGAACCACAGCTCGGTTGCAGGGTGGCCCCGGGCCTGCAGTTGCTGAGCTCGAACTCTGAGCGGCCACCCTGCTCCGGAGGGGCGGCCTCTGGTGTGGGGCCGGCGGCCAGGGAGTGCCCGAGGGGCACACCCAGGGAGTGGACTTTGCGGGTAGGGGCGGGCCCCCCAGGCCCCTCAGGGTCTGCTTGCTCCGGAGCAGGGCCTCTGCCCATCGAGCTGCCCGGCCCTCCATCCCAGGCCTCCGGCCGGACCGTGAGCGACGCATCCCACGTGCCAGCCAGCGACAAGCGAGTGCTGCCCCCGTTTCTTCAGAAACAGAGTGGGCTCTGCAGAGACTCGGTTTCCCGGTGGCCCTGGGGGAGGCGCGGGCACCGCCCCTCTGAGGAGAGGTGGGCCCGGTGGACCCTCACGTGGTGCGCGAGCCCACGTTCTCGCCACGGGGGGCTCCGGGCCTGGAGCCGGACCCGCTCCCACGTGCCCCGGGGACGGCTGTCCCTACCCCGGGCCGCACCCCAGGGTGGAACCCCACCCCCAGTTTCTGCTGAGACCCGCCACAGCAGGGAGGACCCCAGGTGGGGGCGGGGGGCGGGAAGGGGCCTGAATCCGGAGCCTGGGCCGAAGCCCCCCGCCCTGAGCTGGAGTCTGGGACTCATGAGTCTGAGCCCGGGGGACCGGAGGCCCCGGCCAGCGCTTGCTCCCGGGGACCGTCTCCCAGGGCCCAGCTGCCACAGGTCTCCTGGCTCCGTGCACAGCTGGGGGGCTCCCGGGCTGCCCCCCCTCCCCGGTGGGCTGGGTCCCCTTGCTTAGACAGGGCCCTTCAAGGTAGGCCGTACCCACTGACAAGCCGGGCCCCCGGGTGCCCCACCCACTCCTTCGAGGCATGGCGGGGGAGGGGCCGTGTTGCTCCTGGAGGGGCAGGGTGGCCCTGCGTCTGGCATGCGGGGTGGGGGTGGGGGTTCGGGCAGACCCCTCGGGGCCTGTGGCTTGGCCACCCACTCTCTGCTCAGGGCACCGAGTTCCCTGCAGCCAGCGGGCTGCTCCCCGTGGACGATGGGTGGGCGCTGAGCCTCCCTGGGCCCTCCTGCCAGCCCCCGAGGCCCAGGTTGGGGGCCCTGAGCCCCGGGCTGCCCCCCACGGCCTAACGGTCCTTTGTCCGCCTGGCCGGGCGGTTCTGACTGGCCGCTCTGGGCACACTCCAGTCCCGGCTGTGCCCTTCGGAGCTTCCGTCCTCGGGACGTCGTCCTCCGGGACGGGGACCCACGGGCTGCGTAACAGCGACACGTTGTGTCTGGTTGTCACTCCGTTCTGTGAAGAAACAGAAGCCCGGGGCAGCCCTCCAGGAGGTGCGCGGGGGGGCGGGGGGGCCCGGGATGGGGGAGGCCCCCCCGTCAGCGACGGCTTGGCGTCCAGTTCTCCCGCCCCAGGCCCCGGGTCGGCCGGCGTCCAGAGCCGGGCAAGGCCCACGCTCCGCTCACCCTCCTGAGACGGGCGCCCCGGTCGAGAGCGGGGACCCCCTGTGGCCCCGACCCTGGCGTCTGGCCCCACCCACCTGCCTGCCCTCTGCACTTCCGTCTGGCGGTCCAGTGGCCGCGGGACCCCGTGCCAAGCCCCCCCCAGCCCCGTCTCCTTCCCCTGTGGCGGGGTCCCGTCCCCTCACGGACCCCACAGCGGGGCCATCGCACCTGCCACCGTCACATCTGACACCCCCCCGACCGCCCCCCGCCCCGCTGGCATCATCGTCCTGCTGCTGCCCGGGGGCCGGAAGGCGAGGCTGAGCTCCCCGCACTCGGAGCCCAGGCCGGCGACCCCCACGGCCTGGCCCCTTCCACCCCTCTGGAGGCACCGAGGGTCCCGACCTCCCACCAGCCCTCGGGGGGGGCCTGCCGGGCCGCCCTCCTTCGACACTGAAGGCAGACCCCACCCTCCCCCGCCTCCCCCCCGTGCCCCTTTCCTGCTCACTCCCCAGGCAGCGATCTGTCCCCTCGGCTGGCGCGGGGACCGCCGGGCCCCGGTCCCACGGTCACTGCCCCCTCCCGCTCGCTGGCAGGGCGGCGCCCTGCATGTCCTTCCTCGTCACAGTTGACCGGGGATTTGAGGACACTGACGTTGGTGCCGGCTCCACGGCGCGTCTGCCAACTTCCTTCGGGGACCGCGCCCGGCCGCGCCATGGGGGCCGCGCTCACTCACAGCGCCGCGCCGCGCCCTCGGGGGCTCGGTCCTGCTCTGCGCACCCCCTCCGCCCCCTGCCCAGCGCGAGAGGCCACAGCGCTGGGTCCCGGGTGGCTGGGGCGCTGCCTCAGAGGGGGCTGCGTTCCGATGACGTGGCCGTCTGTCGGCGCCTGGGGCGTGGGGACCTGTTGATTTCGGGGCTGCGCTCGCTCCTGGGCTTGCCCCGGCCCCCCCCCCCCCGCCCCGGGCTTCATCTGCAGGGGGGCCTCTTCTCACGACGCCCCTCGTTTTCCCGCCCACGCGGAAGGCCATCCTGGCACTGAGGGGCGCGGCCAGCACCCGCCAGCTGCCCTCCTGCCTGCTCCCCAAGTCCCTCTTTGTCCCCCAGACCGTTCCTCCTGGGCCTCTGCTCCCAGGGCTCGGCCAGCCGCCCCGAGGTCACTGGGCTCCTTGCTCTGCCCGGGGCCCTGCTCTGACCTCAGGCCCCGCGGCCTCGCTCGGTGCATCGGCGCCGGGGTGGGGGCCCGCAGTTCCAGGTGCCGTGGGTGTGGGGGCGTGGTGGGGGCAAAGGTCAGGAGGTGGCTGCAACCCGTCCCGCCCACTGTGGTCATAGGCTTCTCGGGGACCCCCCGTGTGCGGTCCCAACCGGGGCTCCCCACGCCTGAGGGAGGGACAGCCCTTCACTGTGGGAGGAGGACAGCACCCAGAGCCACGAGCTTCTCAGCCAGGCCTCCAAAGGGTCCCCCAGGCCAGATTCCAGGGGGGCCGGGGGAAGTGGGCTCTTGGGACGCCCGGGCCAGCCCTGGTGCCCTGGGGCCCCTTCTGACCGTGAGCCCACACCCCAGGGGTGACAGGTTGCCCCGCCCCTCCTGGTGCCCCAGACGGAGTGAGGGCCCAGGCTTCGGCCTGGAGGAGCCGCCCCTGTGGGCAGAGCCCCGTGGGGGCCCCTTTGGGCCCCCCCGCCCCACTTCGCAGCCCTTTCCGGAAAGGAAAAGACGGCTTGCACAACCGGGCCAGGGGCCGCGAGGCCGGGCGGGCTATCTGGTTACTTCCTGCCTCGGCCTCGGTTCCAGGCAGGGGCTGTGTGCTCCGCGGGGGGTGGGGATTAGTCGCCCGTGGGTGGCGGTCACCCCGCCCAGGAGGAAGGGGCGGCTCGCTCCGACACCCGATGCCCTCCGGGGGGCAGGGACGTTGACCAGGGGGCCTCCCGGGGCTGCGGGGTCACGGGCACTGGGGCGGCGGCCCCCAGGGCTGAGGTCTGCGAGCGCCCCGCTGCTGGCCGGGTGTCCTGCCTCCTGCGGCCGCATCAGCCCCCCACGTTCCAGATGTTTCCGGGGCCCGAGGGGCTGCCTGGCCTCTCGCTGCCGACCTGCCAGCTCCCAGGCTGCTCTGGCTGGGCCGGCGTCACCGAATCCTCAGCCCCCGACCTGGTGACTGACCAGAGGGGTCAGGCTTGAGGTCAGCTCTGCCGTGTGCAGCCTGTCAGAGGGACGGCTGGGGACTGGGCCGGGACATGGCCCTTCCCGCTCAGGCCTGGACTCAAGGATGGGGTGGACAGGGGTGGAGGCCACCAGTGACCCCAGCCCCACCCAGGGGCCTCTCAGCCCTGAGGTTCAGGGCGTGGGCTGGCCTGGATGGATGGGCAGGGCCCCCAGGACCCCTGATGCAGCACCCCAAGCCCCAGGCCGAGCCAGACGTGCGTGGTGGGCCACGGTGCTGCCCCCTGAGGAGGCCACATCCTGGGGGTGGGAGGTCGGCCCTGTGGCCGCAGCCCCACCTCGCAGGCTGGGGCTGGGTCTCGCCACAGACGCACGCAGTGTGACTCTGGGGACAGAGCCCTGGGCGTCGAATTCCAGGGGCCGAGACTGGGACACGCCCCCAGACGCAGGGACGTGGGGCCAGCTCCCCGCCCCGGGCCGCTGACCTCCCTCCACCTGCCGTGCCCCGGCCTCAGTTTCCCTTTGCGAGACCGGGGAGTGCATGCCCTTGGGCATCGCCCTCCGCCCAGAGTGGGCTCCTGGTCCCTCAGCCCCTGCCCGGCGTCCACAGGACCCTGAGCCCCAGGGTGTCCCCCGGTGGCCAGCACTGCCCGTCCTGCCAGTCCCGGGTCCTGTCCACGTCCAGCCCAGGCGGCGTCATCCCAGCGGCCGGCTCCGGGCGGCCCTCCCCTCGCTCAGGGACCCCCCGTTGCCATCCCTGCACAGGGCCAGCCGGGTCTGGGGCTGACCTCCGGCTTCCCCGTGCCCCCACCCTCTGCCCCCTCCGTCTAGGTGGTGGGTGCCCTCCGCACCCCTCCCCCCCCACCCTCCCCAGTGCAGCCTCTGGCAGTCGTGTGGCTGGGGGCGTCTGGGCCCCCATGGGAGGGGGCCGGGCTTTAGGATGTGGGCTTTCCCAGGGCGGGGCCCGGTTTGCAGGCTGAATGGAGAGGTGATGGGGCTTCTGGGGCCACAGCCCCCCTGCAGGGGGCGGCCCAGGTGCATGCACACGGGGACACGCACGCATGCACACACACACACACGCACACAGCTGGGCTCCCGTGTGCCGGGAGAGCCCGGAAGGCACGGCTTCCTCCCCCGCTCCCTCCCCCCGTCCTGGGGACCAAGGACTGCCCTTCCCGTCCCTGGGTTTTACGGACGAGCTCAGAAACCACACAGAGACCAGGACTTGCAAAATGCTGCACGTGTATTTCCGGAACGCTGGCCGCTCCCGAGGCCCAGGCGGAGCCGAGGTGGGGCTCTGCCTCCCGGCAGCTGGCCAGCAGCCGATGGCGGGTCCAGGTGACCGGCACGGACGGGGCCCCACGCGACACTGACGTCTGGGGGGGCGTGGCTGGACCCGCGGCCAAAGGAGCCCCTGCCCACCCACCCGGGCGCCGGACAGGGAAGGGGGCTGGACGGTGCATCGGGGCTCGGACCCCCAGCCCGCGGCTCAGGCTGCTGCCTGGGAGGCTGGACCTCGGTGAACAGGGACGAAGGGGGGTCTGTCGGGAGGGGCGGCCCATCAGGCTGTGGGCGAGGCCCGGGCCCTGCGGCCCCAGCGCCGGCGAGCGGTGTCCTGGCTCCGCGGGGGCCCCTCGGTGCGGCCCTGGCCGAAGTCCCCGCCGCCGCGGGGGTCGCACTGCAGGCCGGCGCAGCCGCACTCCTCCACCTGGGTGTAGCTGAAGGCCCAGCGGGAGCCGTCCTCGCAGCGCAGGGTCACGTTCCGGGTCGAGGCCCGCAGCTCCCGGCAGCAGCCGCAGCTGCGTTCCATCACGCCGGCCGCCAGGGAGAACCTGCAGGCGGGGCCGCTCAGCCACTCAGCGCCCGGGGCCACCCTGCCGCCCCCTTCTCCCCTCAGGCCACCGCCGAGGCCGGTCATTCCGAACAGGCCCAGGGCCTCAGCCGCACGGCCAGCCCAGCCTCAGCCCAGGGAGACCCCCGCTGGCCCCTTCCCACCCAGGGCGCTCCGGGGCTGAGCCGCTGCTCCCCTGCCTGTCCCGCCCCTTGTCTGGGAACACTGCAGCCCGTGCTGCGCGGGAGCCCACAGGCGGGAGGCTGGGGGGCTCACGTACACGGAGGTGGTGTCCCCGCAGTTGCCCTTGCAGTAGGCCAGGAGCACAGGCCCCTCGGAGCTGCAGCCCTGCACGCGGATGACCTCCGACTTGTGGTAGACAGCACAGGTCGACCCTGGGGAGGGGCGCGGGAGGCGGTGGGGGCGTGGTCAGGATTGGCCAGGTGCTCCCCAGGCCCCCACCCCACCCCCCAGACACGCCCACTCACTGTTCTGGATTTGGGGTTCAGGACAGAAGCGGCAGCAGCCATCCTCACTCAGCCGAGCCTGGTCCTGAGCCAACAAGGTGGGGGGGTGCCGTTAGTGCTGGAGCAGCCCACCCGGAAGACGCAGCGGCCAGGCTCCGGCTGGGGCAAGGCTGGGCGGGGCCCTGGGGACTCACCGCCGGGCAGGTGAGCGAGGGGCATGTCTTCTTCGTGGTCACCACCACGAGCCCGTCCTGGTGCTTGTCACACTGGTGGGTCACACAGCGGTTCCCGGAGTCCGACCAGGACTCACCGGCCTGCAGGGGTCCGGGCCGGCAGGTGAGTCCTTCCCCAAGAGCAGGGGTGGGGGCCGCCTCCACCTGTCTGCCCCCACCCTGCAGCTCCCGGAGGAGCCCCCCTCCCCGCACTCGCCGGCCTCGGCCAGGAGCACGCCCTGCAGTGACGTGAGGTCTCTCTGGGGCCCTGGCCCTGCCCACGGGGACCCCGCCCACTCAGCCCCATCACTGTCCCCACAAGGCCGCCCCTGCAGGCTGAGGAGGTCCTGGCCCGAGCCTGGCGTCCCTGGGGCCCCTGGGTTGCCTTTGCCCCCAGCCGGTCAGTGGGCAGCAGTGTGCTGCCCGGCCTGGGACTCCCGCACGGGCCCCGCCGGCAGCACTCACGTGGAAGAGGTGGGCAGAGCCGTCGCTGGCGTTCATGACGCAGGCCACCTGCACGCAGGACCCGCAGCAGCGCCCGCTCTGCGCCCGGTACTCGAAGCCCTGGGGGAGGGGCGGACGTGCGCCTGAGCCCTGCAGGCACTGCGTGGGGGGCTTGGGCGTGGGGGGGCCTCGGGCGTGGGGGGACGCTCACCATGGGGCAGTGGGTGCTGCAGGTCTCCGTCTCACAGCTGATCGTGAAGGCGTCCGCCGGGGGCCCGCTGGGCACCTCGCAGCGGCAGGTCTGGCAGAGGCTTGAGGAGACCACGGCGCCGGGCTGGGGGGTCGGGGCGGCCAGCGTCAGCCAGTGGGCACCACACCGGCCCAGGCAGCCCCTCCACGCCTGGGGGACCTTCCCACCCCCCACTCCGTGACCCTCGGGGGCTCCATCTCAGGGGCACAGCCTCTGGGGGGGTCGCATCTCCGGGGTCCCGGCTGGGAGACACCGAGGTGGGGGGCCTTGTCATGTTCAGACCCCAGCGGGGTCCTGACCCTCAGCCCGTCCTCACCTGGTACAAGGTGCCGTTCACGCTGCAGACGGTCCAGCCTGCGTGGGAGGAGCAGAGGCCTGCAGACCCGCCCCCGGTGTCCGCCGCCCCCGCCCTCACCCCCTCCGCCCCGCCCCCCCCCGTGCCCCAGTCCCACTGCCCGGCCTCCTGCGCACAGACACTGCCCAGCTCCCCGAGTGGCCCGTCCCAGCTGCACCCTGAGTGAGCGAGGCCGGGTCCCCAGGGCCGCCCGGCAGGACACTCACCGCATTTCTGGCTCGGGCAGCAGGCCCCGTCCTCACGGTGCACGGTCTGGAGGGCGCCCTCGGGGCAGCCCGCGAGCGGGGGGCAGTGGCTGGCGTTGCACGCTGTGGTGGGGAGGGAGGGGGCACATGGAGAGGTCCTCAGGCCTGAGCGTTGTGCCCAGGAGTCTCCAGGGGGCGCTGGCCACCCCCCAGGGTGGGGCTCCCAGTCGGCCCGGTACACCCACCCGAGTCGCCGATGAGGCCGCGGCAGGGGTGGGGGCCGCCCTGTCCTCCTCGGTCGCGTCCCCAGCTGCCAGCCCCAAGGTGACGTGCGTGTGGGCCTTGGCAGGTGTGAGGGCAGCGGCCCGCCCCCCCTGCCCCCATCCCGGGACTCACCGCAGGTGTACTGGGGGCAGCACTGGCCGGCCTGGGGGGCCGCGGGCACAGGCACAAAGCCGGGCTCCGGGCAGGCGGGGGGCAGGGGGCAGGGCTGGCGCCGGCAGCTCAGGATCCAGGTGCCACTCTCGCAGGTGCACTCCTGGCAGTCGAAGGTGACCGTGCGGCCCACCTGCAAGGGGGACACGGGGAGCCCGGCCCCGCGTCACTTGCCCATCCCGGAGGCAGCTCCGGAGGCTGGGACGCAGGGGAGCCTGAGGGAAGGGGCTTTAACAGGGTGGGAGGTCACCCTGGCCGGTGTGGTTCAGCGGATTGGGTGCCGGCCTGCAGACCAAAGGGGCGCCGGTTCGATTCCCAGTCAGGGCGCATGTCTGGGTTGTGGGCCAGGTCCCCAGCAGGGGGCGCACGAGAAGCAACCACACATGGATGTTTCTCTCCCTCCCTTCCCCTCTCTCTAAAAATAAATAAATAAAATCTTTAAAAACAATTGGGGGGGGCCTGTGGCCCCCAGGGGCCAGGAGAAGTGTGGGCAGGGGGCTCTGTGGGTGAGCAGCCCCTGACTTCATTGTGTTGGCAGAGCAGGAGGGGGTCCCCGTACAGGGCCGGGGCTCCTGGGCGCCCGCGCCGGCTCTGCTGGGACAGCCGTGCCCCTGTCCCCAGGCGGAGAGGCAGCCCCGTGGCCCAGAGTAACACACTCACCTCCACAGGCTCCCCTCTGGGCCCCAGGCACCCTGGAGGGACAGAGGCCAAGGTCACTGCTGGGCAGCCACGGCCCACCCGGCCTTCAGGCCAGGGCCGTGGGCCCAGCAGCCACAAAAAGCCCGTTCGGGCGGAAGGCCCCCCCCCCCCGCCAGCCCGCCGCGGGGACGTACTGGGGCAGCCTGCAGGCACGCAGACTTCCGTGCTTGCGCTGAAAAGCATCATGTCCTCCGGGCAGAAGCAGCCTTCCGTGATGGGGCTGATGTCCTGGAGGGCCCTGCAGGGGCGCAGAGGGTCAGCCTGGCCCCTGTGCCCTCTGGGGCAGGGGGAGGCCACCCTGGGGGCTCTGGGGTGACGGGAGGGAGGGGCAGGCACGTACACGAGGCTGGCGCTGCCGCCGCCCCCGTAGCAGTAGGAGGGGTTGGAGGGGCCGCAGGGCCGGTACTCCTTGTCGGCAGGGCAGGTGAAGGCTGCAGGAGAGAGAAGCCGCCCCTGAGGGAGGGCTCTAGCCAGGGGGCGACGCCCAGGCCGCGCCCCACCCCCCAGCTTGGGCCCCTGCAGCCAGGAAGCCCTCCTGTCCGTCCCAGAGCCAGCGGGCCCTGCCCTGGGGTCCACCCTCTTCCTCCCGCCAGGAAGCCCGCCCCTGCTGCTGCCGGGAGGGAGGCGGCCACTCACGGCAGGTGTGGTTGGTCCGGCCCCTCCAGTCGATGCACACGCCCTGGGCCGCGCACAGCGAGGCGTACAGCTCCAGGCCGGAGCACGCCACGTCCCGCTCGGTCATGTGGCACTGGTCGAACTCACAGCCTTCGTAGTACGGCCTCGGGGGGATGGCGGCGTGGCACGGCTCGAAGACGCTGCAGCACAGGGACACACGGCGTCCTGGGGCGGCCCCGCACCAGCCGGTGGCCCAGGCGTCCCCCATGGAGGGACCCAGCCGCTGAGCCCACCCAAGGACCCCACGCCCGGGAGCCTGGACCATCTGGCGGAGGCAGGGCCCTGTCTCTCCACCCACTGGGCTCCCACTGGGCGCCCCGCACCCTCCCAGCCTGGTGAGGATGGCTGTGCCCAGGCCCCCGCCAGGGCTGCAGCAGAGCCGCCTCCCCGCCTCCCCACCTCCCCTCACCCGGCACCCCCGGAACCTCACTCGCTCAGAATCAGCTGGCACACGGGCGAGGGCGGACAGGGGGCGGGCGGGGTCGTGGGCCCGCCTGCGGGGGGCGTCGGGGGCGGCCCGAGGCAGGACGGCTGGTCGGGGTTGGTCACCTTCCAGTGCCAGGACATGTCGGAGCAGGAGGCCACCACCGCCCCCCCGGGGAGACGGCACTCGTCCTTTGGGTTGTCCGTGCAGGTGCCTGGGGTGGGGGCGGGAGTTGGGCGGCTGGGACGGACGGCGGTGTCCCCGGGCTGCGCTCCATGGGTCCCCTGACCCCCGGTGCTTCCCTCCCCCAGGAAGCTGGGCCCTGGGGCCGTTCCCATGAAGGGCGGACAGGTGTGGGCCTTGGGCGTCCCTGTAGGCCCAGGGCTCCAGCCCCCCCACCCCCACCCAGGGCCTCGCCAAGGCCGGTCCTCCTCCCACTGGACTCCCAAGGTGACATTTGGTGACCAGGGACGGGGCGGACTCACCGCACTGCCCCTCGGTGTTGTTGGCGAACTTGCTGAAGGGCACCTCCACGGAGAAGATCAGGCCGCTGAACATGACCTGGACGCCGATCTCCCGGATGCTCACGTACATCTTGATGCCGATCTGGGACACCGCGATGCCGCCCCTCCCGAAGCCCGGCGGGACCACCTTGCCGTTGAAGATGATCTAGACGCGGCGGCACGCCGGGAGCAAACACGAGGCCTGGCCGTCAGCCGCCGCTCGCGCGCCCCGCCCACCCTGTGCAGCCCGGGCCGGGGGCGCCCCACCTCATTGGTCATCACCCCGCGGACGGGCCTGCGGGTCAGCACGACGCGGTCCTGCCGGTACTCGACGATGATGGACTGCGGGCAGGACAGCCCGTCCTCGGAGTCGCAGAAGTAGTTGTCGATGAGCACGCGGAAGTGGCCGTACACGGGCACGATCTGCTGCACCAGCACGTAGGTGCAGTTGTCCAGGAAGGTGTAGTAGGTGCCGTCAAAGGTGATGTAGTGCGGGTCGCCCCAGCCGCTGCACACGCCTGTGGGCGCGAGAAGGGCTCACGCGGGCCCGCCCCCAGTCTCCCGCCCCGCCCCGCCCCGCCCGGCCCCGCCCCTCATCAGCGTCTGCGCAGAATCCTACGCTGCACCAGGCGGCTGTGCCCGCTGCAGGGAGGTCCTTCGGCCATCCTACCCGAGCCCCGCCCCCAGCCGGGCCCCGCCCCCGCCAGGCCCCGCCCCGCCCCACCCTCCCGCTCACACTGGCACTGGTAGTGCTGGCAGCAGCCGTCCTCATCCGCCACCTTCAGGGCAGGGTAGCCGTTGGCGCAGGTGGGCTCCTGCACCTGAGGGCACGGGCGCGGCTGCACGGTGATGACGTTGTTGCCCTCGCAGGTGGCCTGAGAGCAGTTGGGCATGGCCCAGGTCTCCCCTCTCTGTGGAAGCAAAGACAGCTGGGGGCGCCGCCCACCGCCCGTCCGGGGACCCCCCCTCAGAGCCCCCCCCCCGGCGGTGAAGCTGTGACCCCACACACCCGTTGTGGCATCGACCACGCACGGTGGTCCCCTGTCGCCCGCAACCAGGAGAGTCTCAGCTCCAGCCCCACTCTCCCGGCTGCCAGGCCACACCGCAGGGTCCCGCCTGCAAAGCCCAGTAGTCACTGAAGCCAGGGCCTATTGGGAGGAGGCTGGGGTCCCCGGCTAGCCCTGGGGCCCCAACGAAAGGCAGAAAGGGGATGTTACCGTTCTTGGGGGGACTGCACTGGGACATCCGTGTGTGGTGACAGGCACGGGGGCCGAAGGGGAGGAGCCAGGCGTCGAGGTCGCCGGCTGCGGCGTGGGCGTGAGCGGCGCTGCGCTGGTGGGGCAGGCGTGGTCAGTCTGCCGCACCAGGTGGCAGTCCAGGCTGCACACAGCGTAGTAGCAGTGGCCAGCGAGGTCGGCCTCCTGGTATATAATGGACCCTGCATGGCAAGGGGACAGGTGTCAGCAGCCCGGGGACCTCCCTGCCACATGTCGACCAAATGAGCCCTCCTGGTGTCTATGGTACTGCTACAATCGGAGACAGACACCCTCCCCTTCCACCGCCCCGCCCCGGAGGAAGGGGCGCCCAGAAGGGTGAAAGGACCCCCACGACCACGCACACGCCACCCACCGGCAGGGTAGAGCTTGTCGGACACGCTGCAGTAGCACGTAGTGGGGGGTGGAGCCGGCGAACTGAGGGTGGTCACTGCAGGGACCCTGGGGGTCCGCTCCGAGGTGCGCAGGGACGTCACAGGTGAAGTCGTATAGGGGGTCACAGAGGTCACAGGGCAGCCTTCTCGGGGCTCACAGCACAGCACGCGGATCTCGTAGTTGAGGCACATCTGGAAGGGGCCCCCCTGGTCCCGGTTGCGGCACACCAGGCCCACGTCGGGGCTGCACCGCACCACCTGGCCCACACTCTGGATGCTGACCTCGGGGTGGTTCTCGGCGCGGCACTCCAGCTGAGTGACGTCCTCTGGCCTGCGGCAGACCCTCTCCCCACTCCTGACGATGTTGCTGTAGGTTTCCAGGTCCCCTCCGTGGGGCCCTGGGGACGGGTAGTCCACGTCGAACCACTTGGTCCACCTGCACCGTGGCTGGCAGGAGGTGGTCCCAGGTGTGGAGTGGGTGGTAGCGGGTGCAGGAGCCGAGGTTGTCCTGGGTCCTGGCACAGGGGTTGTGCTGGTTTCTGGCACAGGGGTTGTCCTGGGTTGGGGCACAGGGGTTGTCCTGGGTTCTGGCACAGGTCTTGTCTTAGGTTCTGGCACAGGTGTTGTCCTGGGTCCTGGCACAGGGGTTGTGCTGGTTTGGGGCACAGGTGTTGTCCTGGGTCCTGGCACAGGTGTTGTCCTGGGTTCTGGCACAGGTGTTGTCCTGGGTCCTGGCACAGGGGTTGTGGTGGTTTCTGGCACAGGGGTTGTCCTGGGTTCTGGCACAGGGGTTGTCCTGGGTCCTGGCACAGGGGTTGTGGTGGTTTGGGGCACAGGGGTTGTCTTCGGTTCTGGCACAGGGGTGGTCCTGGGTCCTGGCACAGGTGTTGTCCTGGGTCCTGGCACAGGGGTTGTGCTGGTTTGGGGCACAGGGGTTGTCTTGGGTTCTGGCACAGGGGTTGTCCTGGGTCCTGGCACAGGTGTTGTCCTGGGTTCTGGAACAGGGGTTGTGGTGGTTTCTGGCACAGGAGTTGTGCTGGGTTCTGGCACAGGGGTTGTGCTGGTTTGGGGCACAGGTGTTGTCCTGGGTCCTGGCACAGGGGTTGTGGTGGTTTGGGGCACAGGGGTTGTCTTGGGTTCTGGCACAGGGGTGGTCCTGGGTCCTGGCACAGGTGTTGTCCTGGGTCCTGGCACAGGTGTTGTCCTGGGTCCTGGCACAGGGGTTGTGGTGGTTTCTGGCACAGGGGTTGTCCTGGGTTCTGGCACAGGGGTTGTCCTGGGTCCTGGCACAGGGGTTGTGGTGGTTTGGGGGCACAGGGGTTGTCTTGGGTTCTGGCACAGGGTGTTGTCCTGGGTCCTGGCACAGGTGTTGTCCTGGGTCCTGGCACAGGGGTTGTCCTGGGTCCTGGCACAGGGGTTGTGGTGGTTTCTGGCACAGGGGTTGTGGTGGTTTCTGGCACAGGGGTTGTCCTGGGTTCTGGAACAGGGGTTGTCCTGGGTCCTGGCACAGGTGTTGTCCTGGGTTCTGGCACAGGGGTTGTGGTGGTTTCTGGCACAGGTGTTGTCCTGGGTCCTGGCACAGGGGTTGTGCTGGTTTGGGGCACAGGTGTTGTCCTGGGTTCTGGCACAGGGGTTGTCTTGGGTTCTGGCACAGGGGTTGTCCTGGGTTCTGGCACAGGGGTTGTCCTGGGTTCTGGGACAGGGGTTGTGGTGGTTTCTGGCACAGGAGTTGTCCTGGGTTCTGGCACAGGGGTTGTGCTGGTTTGGGGCACAGGTGTTGTCCTGGGTTCTGGCACAGGGGTTGTGCTGGTTTGGGGCACAGGAGTTGTCCTGGGTTGTGGCACAGGGGTTGTGCTGGTTTGGGGCACAGGGTGTTGTCCTGGGTTCTGGCACAGGGTGTTGTCCTGGGTTCTGGCACAGGAGTTGTCCTGGGTTGTGGCACAGGGGTTGTGCTGGTTTGGGGCACAGGGGTTGTGCTGGGTTCTGGCACAGGGGTTGTGCTGGGTTCTGGCACAGGGGTTGTCCTGGGTTCTGGCACAGGGGTTGTCCTGGTTGTGACCACGTGGGAAGTGGTCTCAGTTGTACTAGACACGCTCACACTTGGGGTGCTCGGCACCGTGACTGGTTGGTAGGTGGGGCAGCCTTCTCGGGGCTCACAGCACAGCACGCGGATCTCGTAGTTGAGGCACATCTGGAAGGGGCCCCCCTGGTCCCGGTTGCGGCACACCAGGCCCACGTCGGGGCTGCACCGCACCACCTGGCCCACACTCTCGATGCTGACCTCGGGGTGGTTCTCGGCGCGGCACTGCAGCTGAGTGACGTCCTCTGGCCTGCGGCAGACCCTCTCCCCACTGCTGACGATGTTGCTGTAGGTTTCCAGGTCCCCTCCGTGGGGCCCTGGGGTCGGGTAGTCCACGTCGAACCACTTGGTCCACCTGCACCGTGGCTGGCAGGAGGTGGTCCCAGGTGTGGAGTGGGTGGTAGCGGGTGCAGGAGCCGAGGTTGTCCTGGGTCCTGGCACAGGGGTTGTGCTGGTTTCTGGCACAGGTGTTGTCCTGGGTTCTGGCACAGGGGTTGTGGTGGTTTCTGGCACAGGGTCTTGTCTTAGGGTTCTGGGCACAGGTGTTGTCCTGGGTCCTGGCACAGGGGTTGTGGTGGTTTCTGGCACAGGGGTTGTCCTGGGTCCTGGCACAGGGGTTGTGGTGGTTTCTGGCACAGGAGTTGTCCTGGGTTGTGGCACAGGGGTTGTGGTGGTTTCTGGCACAGGTCTTGTCTTAGGTTCTGGCACAGGGGTTGTGGTGGTTTCTGGCACAGGGGTTGTCCTGGGTTCTGGCACAGGGGTTGTCCTGGGTTGTGGCACAGGGGTTGTGGTGGTTTCTGGCACAGGTCTTGTCTTAGGTTCTGGCACAGGGGTTGTGGTGGTTTCTGGCACAGGTGTTGTCCTGGGTCCTGGTACAGAGGTTGTGGTGGTTTGGGGCACAGGGGTTGTCCTGGGTTCGGGCACAGGGGTTGTCCTGGGTTCGGGCACAGGGGTTGTGCTGGTTTCTGGCACAGGGGTTGTGGTGGTTTCTGGCACAGGGGTTGTCCTGGGTTCTGGCACAGGGGTTGTCCTGGGTCCTGGCACAGGGGTTGTGCTGGTTTCTGGCACAGGGGTTGTCCTGGTTGTGACCACGTGGGAAGTGGTCTCAGTTGTACTAGACACGCTCACACTTGGGGTGCTCGGCACCGTGACTGGTTGGTAGGTGGGGGCAGCCTTCTCGGGGCTCACAGCACAGCACGCGGATCTCGTAGTTGAGGCACATCTGGAAGGGGCCCTCCTGGTCCCGGTTGCGGCACACCAGGCCCACGTCGGGGCTGCACCGCACCACCTGGCCCACACTCTCGATGCTGACCTCGGGGTGGTTCTCGGCGCGGCACTGCAGCTGAGTGACGTCCTCTGGCCTGCGGCAGATCCTCTCCCCACTGCTGACGATGTTGCTGTAGGTTTCCAGGTCCCCTCCGTGGGGCCCTGGGGACGGGTAGTCCACGTCGAACCACTTGGTCCACCTGCACCGTGGCTGGCAGGAGGTGGCCCCGGGTGCTGTGACGTGTGTGCTGGCGGTGACTGTGGCTGCTGAGCTGGCACTCCTGTGCTGTGTGGAGGCCCCCCGAGTTCCCGTGGTCGGAGGGGCCTCTGACCGGGTTCTGGCTTCGTGTGGAGTCGAGCGCGTGGCCTCTGAGGTCAGCGGGGTGGTCGTTTCTCTGCACACGTCCACCCACTGGCAGCACTGGATGCGGATCTCGTAGTTGTAGCAGATGGGGGGCAGCTGGTCGCGGTTCCGGCACACCAGGCCCACGCTGCTGTTGCAGAGCACGACCTGCCCCAGGTCTGCCAGCGGTGTGCGCGGGAAGCTCACTGCCCGGCACTCCACCCGGCGGGGCCTCTCACAGAACTTATAGCCCTTGGATCTCAGGTTCTGAAAGGTGTCGAAATCTCCACCCTCAATACTGGCCTCGGGGTAGCTGCCATCGATCCAGCCAGTCCAGCTGCAGAACTCCTGCATGCAGGCGATCTGGCTGGGCTCCGGCGGGACGCTGGAGCCCGAGGGTGGCGTCCTAGCGGCTGCGGAAGCGGGCACTGTGCTGGGGGTGGAGGGGGTCATTCTCGCAGGTGTGGGGGTGCTGGGGGCCGGGTCGCTGGAGGTGGGGCAGGCCCGGGGGGTGCAGCACAAGACCCTGATCTGGTAGTTGCTGCAGAGCCCTGAAACCTGGTCCCTGTTGTAGCAGGTCAGCCCCACCGTCGGCGTGCACTCCACGCGGGGCCCCGGGGCCCGGAGCGACGCCTCGGGGGCGTCCTCCGCGCGGCACTCCACCGCCTTCGGCGCTCGGCAGACGGGGTACCCGTGGGCCCGCAGGTTGTCCAGCGTGTCGAAGTCCCCGCTGTCGATGCCCCGTCCGGGTCGGCTGACGTCCAGCCATGGTGACCACTGGCAGTCCTCCCCGCAGCTGGGGTGGGGGCTGACAGAGGCCGCCGAGGGCTGCGGCCTGGGGGACGTGCCTGGGGCCGTGGGCGGGGCTCTGCTCGGAGTGCCTGTGGGCACCGGGCTCGTGGCGGGGCCGGGGCGCGTGCCAGGCTGGCCTGGGGAGCTCGTGGCTACGGGCAGAAGAGAAGGCAGAGGGGCCGGGTGTCAGGGGCCGGCCCTCACTGGGGGCCTCCGGGGCCTGCACGTTGACGCTGTCCCTGCCCCCCGTCTGTCCGCGGCTTGGGGGCTTTGCCACATCAGTCTGCCCGCCTGTCTTTCTGATGGCGCCCAGGCCCCAGATGCGCCCCACACACGGCTGCTGGGGCACAGCCTTGAACACATGGGCAAGCGGGTCCCGTGTGTTCAATCCGTGGGAGGGAAGCTCCCACGCATACCCGGAGTGGAATCTGGATGTGTGGCTCTGACAGCCAGAATTCCGGGGACTCTTTTCTCTTGGGGGGACCTCTGAGAAGTCCCTGGGATGCCCCCAGAGTCGGGGGAAGCCCACGGGGTGAGGCGGCAGAACCCCAGGTGCACCCCTCCCAGCCAGCCTGGTGCCTCTGCTGGCAGCCGCTGCCCGGGGCACACCAGACCCGCCAGGGAGACCCAGGGGGCCGCCTCAACTGCAGGGTGGCTGCTCTCGGCTCACTCCTGGGCACCCCCCCATCTGGGCGCCCCCCCATCCGTTCTCAGGGGGAGGGGCAGCCCTGCGTGGCCCCAGCGTGTCTGCCTACCAGTGGGCGGCGTGGAGAAGGAGAAGGTGGTGGTGGGGGCGGGGGTGCTGGGGCCGCAGGGGTGGACTCTCCTCTCGATGGTGTCGTTGGCCCCGCAGCGGGCGGAGATGCAGCCCCCCGTGCCGTCCGTCGTGTGGTAGATGACGTCCCCCGGACGGAAGTGGCGCCCGCCATAGGTGCAGACACAGGCTGTGGGGAACAGGGCGGCTGGGCACGTCAGGGGCCAGGGGCGCAGGAGGCACCCCGAGGCCCCGAACCCAAAGAGGGCCCCCGGCGCTCACCCTCGGCGTCGTAGGTGCACCGCACGCCGCTCTCGGTGCAGACGCTGCGGCAGGAGGAGGAAGGGGAGTCTGGTTTGCGGGGCGTCCGGGCGGGGGTGGAGGGCGAGGCAGGCGGGAGCCACCCCGCAGGGGTGCCCTGGGGAGCCTGCGGTCACACCTTCCCCATCCGTGACCAGTGAGCCCGCGCTCATGATGGCTTCCTCTCTGGGACAGCGTCTGGGGTCCCGGAGGCTCAGGCTCCGCCCCCGGCCCCACCCCGCCCCTTCCAGGCTCAGGCTCCGCCCCCGGCCCCACCCCGCCCCTTCCAGGCCCCACCCCGTCCGGCAACCCGGAGGCCCTTCAGGAAACCCAGGCCACAGATACCCCTCCTGGCGCCCCCCCCCCCCGCCCCGGAGGTGGCAGTGGGAGCTGGCCCAGGCGAATGCCCCCGAGCTCCTGGCTCCCGCCGTGGAGTCGCTCACCAGGAGTAGCAGTTCTTGTCCGAGGGCACCGCCGCGCCCGGCCGGTACGACTTGCCCTGGACCTGGCAGGGCGGCGGCGGGGGTGGGGACGGGCACGCGGCCACACACTGCATGTTGTCCTCATCGAAGATGGGGGCCTCCGCGGGGCACCTGGGATAGCAGCCTGCGGGCGGAGGGGCCTGAGTCCCAGCCGGACGCACTGCCGTTCGCCTCGCCCCCACGGCCACCCCCCCCCCGCTCCCCCCAGCCCTGGGCCCCCGCCACGCCCCAGGGAGTGCCAGGAAGCACCCGCACAGGCGCCTGGAGCGGTCAGGAAGAGCTCAGCCCGCCACGGGTCCCCGGGCCCCAGGACAGCCCACCTTCCAGGCCCTGGGTGTCGTGCAGGCAGCGTCCACTGGGGTTCCGGCAGGTGCGCAGGCAGGGCGCCCCGCAGGGCTGGTAGTGCCACTCGCACTGGCCCTCGGGGTTGTAGTAGTCGCAGAACAGGGCTGGGGGGGGGGGCAAGGACATGCTCAGCGGGCCGCCCCACCCCACAGCAGCCCCAGGGAAGCGCCCTGGAGGGGCAGGCCGGGCCCCAAACGCTGCAGGTTCCCATAAACCCCGATCCTTCACCAAGTCTTGTGGGCTGTCCCCCCCTCCCCCTAACTCTGCCGTGGAGCCAGAATTCTGGGGCTCAGGCGGGCAGCTGGGCAGTTGGCTGGCTCAGGGTCCGGCCGCAGCAGCTCCCCAGCCACGCCGCCCTCTGGCCAGACCCTCTGTGCTGGACGGGGTGGGCGTGGGGCTCTGCGGACCCTTCAGTTCCAGAAAGTTCCACCACACCTGCCATGTCTCCACCAGCAACGTACCCCTTCCTTCTCCTTTCAAAGCCGCCCCGCCCACCCCTCCCCCCGTGGGAGAGCGAGGGCACTCACGGCAGACGTCCGGGGTGCGCCAGGACACGCACACGCCCACCTCGCGGCAGGCCTGGGCGTAGGCGGCCACGGCCGTGCAGAAGCACTCGCAGTCGCCGCCCGAGTCGCAGGCGCACGCGTCGCTCACGCAGGCCTCGTAGTACTTGGTGGGGTCGACCTGCGTGGGGTATGGGCCTCAGATTCCGGGGCCCCATCCCCGTGGGCTCTTGGGGGACCGGGCCTGCCTCGTGCGTGGGGCTTAGGGGCAGCGGACGTGTGGTCCCGCATGGCTGGTCCTCAGGGGTGGCCCCGCCCCGGCCAGGCAACTCCGCCCCCGGTCGTCCCCCCCCCGCCCCCCCCCGCAGCGTCCTGCGTACGTGGGCGTGGCAGGCCTGGAAGACGGCGCCGTTGAGGACGCTGCACTGCTTCTGCGCCCAGGACTTGCGGTAGGGGTTGGCGGTGCAGGGGTCCCTGGGCGCCGGGGCGTCCGGGCAGGACGGGGAGAACTTCCAGCTGTTGCCGAACTCCAGGGCGTCGCCCGCCACGGACTGGCTCCGCGTGGTGAAGTCGTTGAGGGCGTTGTCGTCGAAGTTCCCGCACAGCCCGCAGACCCTCCCCTGCGGACGCGGAGACAGGCGGGCACGTGGGGCGGGGCTGCAGGGGGCAGCCTGGCTGGGGGGGCGGGGTGAGCGCCGGCCGCCCGTGCTGTGCCCCGGCCTCTCCTGGAGGAGGCAGGAGGCGGGGTGCGGGCGGGGCAGGGCCAGGCGCGCCGTGTGAGGCTCGGTGGGGGCCTTTCGGGTGCGGACTGGGGTGCTGACCCGGGACCGTGCTTGGGTGTGGCCTTTGGCGGAAACAGGGTCTCCGCTGAGAAGCAATAAAGAGGAAGGCATCCTGGATCGGGCGGGCGGGTCTAGCCGCTGGTGTCCTTCTGGGACGAGGACGTGAGCACAGAGACACACGCGGTGACAAGTTACGTGGTCACGGGGACACAGGTTGGGGTGGTGCAGCCACCAGCCCGGGGCGCCAGTGGCCCGAGAAGCTGGAAGGGGCCGGAAGGAGTGTCCGGGGAGCCAGCCCTGTGGCCCGGGGACTGGACTTCGGGGTCCAGACGGTGTGTCAGGGGTGTCCCGGCAGCCACAGGACCCTGACACCACAGCACAGCGCCTCCTGCTGGCCTCCTCCCTGCAAGCAGTCCGGGCCACCCCCTCCTCCCTCTAGTCCCTGCCTGTCTCCCGTGTCTTCATCTCTCTGCCTCTCTGTATCTCTCCGTCTCTCTGTGTCTCTGCCTCTCTGTCCTTCTCCCCAGCCCCACACCCCCGGCAGCCCCCTGTGGTCTGGGGCGAGGGCAGTGGTCAGCAGCGGGTGGGGGTGGGTGGGTGTGGAGCCTCACCTTGAACTCGGGGCTGAGTCTGAGGAAGATGCTGGTCTTCTTGTCCCACAGCAGCACCAGGCCGGCCTCGGTGTCCACCACCAGGTAGATGCCCACCTGGCGGATGGCGTAGGGCGCCTCCTGGCCCGAGGCCTTCTGGATCACCTCCACTTTCCCCTCGCTCAGCTTCAGCTCGTAGCTCTGCGCAGGGAGGGGGTCCCTCAGAGCCTGGGACCCCAGGCTGCCCCCCGAGAGGGTCCGCCGGCCCCCCACTCACCCCCAGGAAGATCTTGATGGCCTTGGAGCAGGTGGTCCCCGTGGTGCCGCAGGGGACGTTCTCGGTGACAACGCGGAAGGCGTCCTGGGAGCTGTCGTTCCCGCCACAGTGGTCCTGTGGGGACAAGGCGGCCGCTCACCTTCCCGGGAGGAGGCCCGGCAGGCCGAGGCGGGGGGCGCTGTGGGACCTCCGGGGGGCGGGGGCCGCGGTGACCGCACCTGCACCAGCGTGTACTCGCAGTTCCCGCTGAAGCTGTAGCGCTGCCCGTCGAAGGTGAGGTAGTGGCCGTCCCCGTACACGGCGCAGGTGGCCAGGCAGGGCTCGTCCGTGCACTGCCACATCCGGTCCTGACAGGTGCTGCGGGCAGGGGCGCCGGTCAGGCCCGACTCCGGCGGGCGGGGCGGGGCGGGGGCACGGTGCCCTCCCAGAGGCTCCGAGGGGGCCCTCCGGGCACTGACCGGGGCCCGGTCTCAGGCCTGAGGCCTTGCCAGCTGGGGCGCAGCACCCACGGCAGGAGCCCCCCCCAATGGGGCCCCCCAGAATGCCACGTACCAGGTGTTGCAGCCCACCCGGATGGTCTGGCCGGCCCGGTAGCTGGCCTCGTTGTGCACGCAGGGGCAGTCGGCCGCAGCGATGCAGCCACCCTCGCCGTCGGCCACCAGCCCGTCGGGACACACGCAGCCGGGCACGCACTGGGGGCTGTACTGGGGGCGGACAGACACCTCAGTGGACGGGGCCTGCGCCCGGCCGGGTGGCCTCTGGGGGGGCCCAGGGACAGCAGGCCCAACGGGCTCTCAGGCAGGGGCCTCCACAGGGGCCCAGGAGGGGCCAGCGGGCCTGGGGTGGCCGGTGGTCAGCGGGGGCGTGGGGGTCGCGGGTCACTCACACAGTCCATGTCCAGGGTGTGGCAGCTCTTCTGGCAGCCGGCCCCGGTGGCGCCGGCCGAGGCGTTGCGGCAGTCGGCGTAGACCATGGGTGGGGAGCAGACTGCGGGCGGAGGGGGCCGTTCAGGGCCGCCCCTCCCAGCCCGCTCTGAGGGACACGCCGCTGCCCACTCCACCGTGTGTTTCCCTTCGCCCCAGCCTGCACGTGTGCATGTGTGCATGCATGTGTGTTCAGCATGTGCACGTGTGGTGGTGCATGCACGGCATGTGTGTTTGTGCACCTGTGTGTGCCCACAGCCCCCCCCCCTGCACTCCCCTCACTGAGCCCAGAGGGCAGAGGCTGCGGAATAGAGACGCTGATAGCCACCCCCACCCCCACACGGACTCGAGGGGCGACACAGGGAAAAAACTGAGGCCCCCTCCTTCCTCCCCTACCTCCCGGCTCACCTGGGTCAGGGGTGTGGCCCCCGATGCAGGTCAGTGTGCCCTTAGTGCAGGTGCTGTGGGGAGAGGGCGGTCAGAGGGGCCTGCCCCACCCACCTGCCCCGCCCACCTGCCCCGCCCGGCCTCAGGGCTCCTACCAGACAGCCCCTTGCTGGTGCACAGACTCCCCGCTGGGGATCACCGAGGCGCCGAGGTAGCAGGGACAGCTGGCAGCTGGCACACACTTGCCCTTGTCGTCCAGGAAGGTGCCGTGGGGGCAGGTGCAGCCGTCCACGGGCACGAAGCTTATGCCACAGGTGGGGTCCTCGTTGCTCAGGGCCCGGCAGGTGGGCTGGCAGGTGCTGATGTGCTCCTGGTAGGTCATCGACTTGGGACAGTTTTCCATGGGCTTCGCTGGGGGACGCGAGGAAGGGGGTGGCAGTCAGGACACAGTGGCCGTCCCAGGCCCCTGGCTGCCCGTCTGTCCCAGGCCCGCCCTCCTGGGCAGCGTCCCGGGGCTCCCGGGCCTCTGTGCAGGGGTCGGGGGCCCACGGGGGCCACCTGGCCCGCACACTCACTGCAGACGCCGGCCCTCCAGCCGCTGAGCAGCACTCCCCGGGCGGCACAGGCGTGGACGTAGGAGGCCAGGGCGGCGCACAGGCAGTCCTCGCTCCTCTCGCAGTTGCAGGTGTCGAACAGGCAGTTCTGGGGACGGGGCGGCGGGCGTCAGGGGGCGTCCCCGACACTGCCGCCCTGGACTCCTCGGGACCCTCCCTCCACAGACCCCTCGCGGAGCTGAGGCCCTCGGGCCCCGGTCTCCAGGACCTGACGCGCCCAGCCCTGCCCGGCAGCCTCAAACGCCGAAGCCCCTCCGCCACAGCTGAGTGTCAGCCGGGGGCTCTAAGGGACTCGGGCGCACGCGGTGAGGGTTCGGCTGAAGGAAGGGGGGTGAGGGAGGGAAGCCTGGAGACGGCGGCCACCGGCACCGGCCACGGTGCCGCGGACCACACTGGGCCTGCTGGCCCCCTGCAGGCGGCTGTGCGGCCAAGGGGCGGGGCAGTGCGCAGCGTTACCGAGTAGTAGGTGCCCGGGCTCACGGCGGCGTGGCACCGGGCGAAGGGGCCTTGCGGGTCGGTCAGCCGAGAGCACCAGTGCTGCGCGTACTTCTCTGTGGACAGAGGGCGGAGGGCGTCGGGGGCGGCCGGGGAACCTGCCTTTCACCCCGAACTCCCCACCTGCCACCGCGGGCAGGCCCCCAGGCTCCTGCCGGATGCCCCCAGCCTGCGGTTCCTTTTCACCTGGAACTCACCATGGCCGAAACGGACACACCCGTTGGTGAGCTGCGGGTTTACCACCTGGCGACCCCCCTCAGGACCGGGTGGACAGCTGGAGGCCTGGCCCAGGAGGCCGGCGGGCGGGCCCACGTACCGTTCTCCACGCTGAGGGCGCAGGGGTCCTCGAAGCTGTTCCGGACGTTGGGGCAGGCGGCCTGCGTCTTCCAGGTGTTGGCGAAGGCGGCGGCCGTGCCCTCCACCACACCACTGAGGGTCCGGAAGTCGTCGGCCTGGTTCTGGTTGAAGTTCCCGCAGAGACCTGGGGGCATGGGGTCAGGGAGCGCCCATGAGACCCATGAGGCCCGGCCACCAAGGGTGGGCTCCGGCACCTGGGGGGTGGGGGGGCGCAGCGCCTCTTACCGCAGGTCAGCCCCCGGAGCTCAGGCGCCAGCCTCAGAAAGACCTGCATGGTGGGCACCAGCTGCACCTCCACCTGCAGGCCCAGGTTGGTCTGGGCGATGATGAAGAAGGTCGAGGGTCTGAAGACCGTGATGTTGGCTGTGGACGAGGGGAGGGAGGGTCTCAGTGACGTCCTAGGGGTGGGGCCCCCCTGGGGCACGGGGCCGGCGCTCTCACCTGTCGAGATGGGCAGCTGCGCGTAGACCTGGTCCACAAACACCTCCCCGCCGGCCTGGACCGTGACGACCTGCAGGCAGCAGGGGCGTTGGCAGGGGGCTGGGCAGAGCTGCCGGTGCCCCCGCCTCCCCCAGAGGCTGTGAACCCTGCCCAGGAGGCCCCTGCCCTGGGAGGAGGAGCAGAGGACTCGTATCCCCAGGGCCCCATGCTCATCCCAAGCCCTCCTCCAAGGGCCAAGGATGGGGAAGTTCTTTAACCATGTAAAAGTCGATGCAATTTCACGGCTCGGAGAAGCCCCCAGCTGCTCCACGGGCGGGTGGGAGCAGGCGTGGAGGCCCTGCGGCCTGCCTGAGCGGCTTCTCTGGGGACGGTCACCGGGGAGACCCACAGAGGGGGACGCAGAGAATGAGAGAGTGGAAGGGTCCTGGGGCCCCGCCTGGCGGTGGCTGTCCACGTCTGGGCCGTGGTCCCTGGCCGCGAGGCCGCGCCCCGCTCCCTTCGCCTGGGCCCCGCACTCACCGTCCGCCCCGCGCCCAGGCTCAGGGTCAGGCTCCTCAGGCAGGTCTCGCTGTCGGTCAGCCCGCACCTGCGCAGCTCGGCCAGCACGGTGAAGGCGCTGCCGTTGCAGGGCTGCGGCAGACACGTTCCTCAGGCGCCGCCCAGCCCGCCGCCGCCCCTCCCCCTCCCCCGCCCACCCTGGAAACACTGTGGAGGGCGAGGCTCAGGGACCCGGGACACCGTCCCGGAAGCCGCACCTTGGCCAGCACGTAGCTGCAGTCCCCGTGCACCGTGTAGGGCTTCTCGTCGAACGTGGAGAAGTGGGCGCCTCCCAGCACCGAGCAGGTGCCGGGGCACGGAACCTCCCGGCAGCTCCACCGGCCTCCAGAGCAGGTGCTGAGAGCAGGGAGAGGCCCTGGGTCCCGGCCCCGCCCCCGCCTCCCCCCTCAGGCTGCCCCCCCCTCCCTGCACAGCGGGAGGCCATCCCAGGGCTCATCTGGGGGGACAGGAGCGGGGCCACCCGGGGCACATCCAGGGGAGAGGAGGGCGGGGCCTGGGGCCCTACCAGGTGCTGCAGTCTGTGGAGTAGACGGCCCCCGGGGCGTAGGTGGCGCCGTTGTGCGTACAGGGACACTGGGACACGGGGACGCAGCCCGTCTGGCTGATGTCGTCAAGCACCATCCCTGCAGAGGCGGGCGGTGTGTGTGGCAGGTGCTGGGTGGGCTGAGTCCACCGTGTGCGCGCGTGGGAGGATCGGGCCTTCCGCCCCTGGCGGCCCTGCCTCGCAGGGGCTCCTCGGACCCCGGGGCGGAGGGACACGATGGGCGGGGCCAGGGTGGAGGGCGGCAGCGCCCGCCGCCTGCGGGGGGCAGCAGTGGGGCGCAGGGCTCCGACTCACCCTCGGGGCAGAAGCAGCCGGCCACGCAGTGGTCCTCGCAGGCCTGGGAGTGCTCCAGGTTGGAGCAGGTGTCGGCGCAGGGCGAGCCGCACTCTCGGTACTGCATGTTGAGGGGGCACGTCTGGGCTGCGGGGAGGAGGGCGGGGCCCCGTCACCTGCTGCCCCTGCCTCGCGGCGGAGGCGGGACAGCGGGGCGGGGCCGTGGGGACACTCACGGCAGAGGCCCGGGCCCCGCCAGTCCAGGGGCAGCCCCCCGGCGTGGGCGCACTGGCGGGAGTACTCGGCGAGCGTGTGGCAGGCGCAGCTGGCGAGGTCGGCGGCTTCGCGGCAGAGGCAGAGGTCCTGCTGGCAGGCCTGCACGTAGCTGCTGGCGTCCACCAGGGGGCGGCAGCCCAGGAACCGCTCGCCGAGCAGCAGCTCCTCGCAGAGGCCCTGGGCGGGGCGGGGCGGGGCGGGGGCGGCTGAGTCTGGCCTCCCAAGGCTGCTGGGGTCGCCGTCTCCCCCGCCCCAACACCCCACAGCCCCGTGAGCAGGACCCCCGCGCCACCCAGGCTCGGCCACACTGGGGCTTACCAGGCCAATGGAGCAGCCCGTCGTGGGCTCCGGGTCGGGGACGGGGTCCTGACACTGCTCCGTGGGGCCGTCCATCTTCTGCAGGCTCCCGAACTCCACGGGGCTCAGCCTGACGCCTGCGGGAAGCACAGTGCCGGGTTCGGCGGGTTCCCGTGCGCCCTTGCTGCCCCCCAGAGCCTGAGGTGTCCCAGCTTCGCCGGCCTCCCCCTCCCACGCTGCCAGGCTAAACTGCAGCTCCACCGGACGTGCGGGGGTCTGAGGGGACGTGAGAAGCCTCCTGACACAGGGCTGAGGCCAGCGCACAGCCCAGAGGGTGGGGGGGGGGCCTGAGCTCCTGCCGGCCTCCGGGGCCCGGCCTCCCTGCCCAGGGCCACTGGACGCTTGGGCAGGCTGGGTCCCCCAGGGCTGGAAGCCCCTCATGGGCGGGATTCCTGGGCCCGGCAGAGGGGACCTGGGGATTGTGCAGGTTGCACAAGAGGCCACACGGCCTGGTGGCAAAGGCTGGGAGACAGAGTGGTGACAGGGTCTGACTTCAGGTGAGGGTGTGCGTCAGAGCAGCCTGGCTGCCACCAGGACCTGCCACCGCCCTCGGAGAGCATGCCCGCTGTGTGCCGGGACCACGCTGGCATGCAGGCGAGTGAGTGTGCACGCTGGAATCGCTTGGGTGTGAGTGGGTGAGTCTGGGAAGGTGTGTGCACAGCTGTGTGCGGGGGTCTGCATGCATGTGTGTGTGTGTGCACAGCTGAGTGTGTGTGTGCACAGCTGAGTGGGGGTGCAGGCGTCCCCCACGGTGGGGACACCTGATTGGGGCCCACCGTGCGGGGGTGCGGGGGTGCGGGGCCCGAGCGGCAGCAGACGGGGCGGCCGCGCCAGGGCTCACCGTGGGAGATGAGCTCATTGAAGACAGGGACGCCGTTGAAGTCCCCGCAGAGCCCGCAGGTCTGGTTGGCGAACTTGGGGTCCAGCTCGAGCTGGAACGAGAGGAGGCGTCAGACGCCCGGCCCACCGGGGACGCCCGGGGCGGAAAGGGCAGACGGGGCCTGGGCGCCGGGGCTCCCCACACTGCCCGTGGACACAAGACCTCAAGCAGGCCGGGCCTGTCCTGAGGGGGACGCCGTTCGGGGCGGGGTCTGAACTTCCCGCCTGCCCTCGCCCAGGGCCCTGCCCCTTGGGGGGTGGCGGCTGCCGGGCGGCAGGTCCCCCGCCGCCCCCGGACCCACCAGGAGGCTGTCGTCCTGGTTCCACATGAAGACCAGGCCCAGCCTGGCGGACACCTTCAGGTAGTTGGCGCTCTGCTCCAGGAGGACGCCGGACTGGCTGAAGGGCAGCTGGGTCCTGCAGAGAGGGCCCCGCTCAGGCTCGAGGGGTGTGCGAGGGCGGAGCAGCAGAGGGTCTCCATGGTCACAGGTGGGACAAGGCCACCATGCCAGGAACAGTGCCCGTGGGCGTGATAGGGACAGGCCCCGGAGCTCTGCGAGGGGACTGCTCAGGGGCAGCCAGGAGCCCAGGGGGCCGAGCGCAGGGCACACCCCGCCCGGCTCCACCCTCGGGGTGACCCCACGTCCCTCCCACGTCCCTCCCACGACCACCCGGAAACGTCCGGGGCCATCCCGGGGCCAGACTCACGGGCGGCCATTGACCAGGACGGAGCCCTTGGTCAGCTCGAGGACCACGCCGTTGAGCTTCATGGTGACCTTGCTCAGCGTGGTGGCGCTGGACTCCCCGCCGCGGCGGAGCTGCAGGTTGAAGTCCTCGTAGGCGGCCCCGCAGTGCGCGGAGAAGACGTAGTTGCAGCGGCCGGGGAAGCGGAAGACGTCGCCGTCGAAGGTCTTGTAGTGGAAGTCGCCCCAGGTGCTGCAGACCCGCCCGTTGTGGGCCGGGTTCAGGGCTGCGGGGAGAGCGCCGGCCGTGCTGAGGGCACCCCGCCCGCACCCCACGTGCCTGGACCCGAACGTGCCGCCGCCGCCGCCGGAGGGCGGGTGTCTGGGGACGTCCCGCCAGGACCCGGGGGCGCTTCCCAGCACTTGGTCCACGCCCACCCCGATGGGCCCCCCGGTCGGAGGGAGCGAGACCCTGAACACAGGGCCCTCAGTCCAGCCTTGGGGGGCGGGGGGGCGGTCTCACTCACCTCGAACCACGGCAGCCGTCTTCAGAGGCGGGAGGACGGTCGCCCCGAGGAGTGGGACGCCTGTGGGAACAGGGGTGTTGATGCACGGCCCCCCACTGCCAGACGCAGCCCCCGAGGGGTGGGGGGTCTCTGCACCCCTGGAGATGTTGCCTCCCAAACCGGTGGAGTCCTCCGGGTCCGGCCTCCCTGCCTGTCTGGCACCCATGCTTGGGCAGCAGAGGCGCAGGCCCAGCGGGCAGCTCTCCCCCGACCTTCCCTTCTGCTCGGCCACTGCCCGAGCCACCTGGCCCAGGAGGCCTTTGCATGGGGGGGGGGGGCGCCTTGCACCCAGAATCTCAACCATGCCGGAATCGGCACCATGGCTGGAGAGTCCTGCGGGAGCAGAGGTCAGGGCAGGGAGCCCCTGGGAGCTGTTGGGGGAGGTGCCCCTCACCACCCGCCTGTCCCAGAACCATGAGGACCGCCGTGCGGGTGGGCACAGAGATGCCCAGATGGGCCACCTGCCAGCCCTGCCTCCAGCCGGAGGACACAGGTGCAGCTCAGTGACGGGGACCGACAGGGAGCCTGGGCGACGGGAGAGCTCAGCGGGCCCGCCGGCCCCGTCTGCAGCACGATGAGGAGACAGCAAGTGGCCGGCAGGTGCCCGACCGCTCTGTGTATGTGGGGGGGGTCCCCTAGCCCCCGAGTCCTGGCCCCTCGGTGGGGCCAGCTAGGGGGCACCCACGGTGAGCGGCCCCTCAGGGACCGCCAGCGGGGGCAGCTCTGACAGGCGGGGCAGACTCACCGCTGGGTGCCCAGGGGATGGTAGGGACTGGGCGCTGCCCCTCGCCAGGCTCCGAGGGTCTGTGCAGGGCCCCGCCTGCGGGAAGAGGACCGGCAGGGCCTGAGCAGGGGCAGGCGGCCCTTGGAGGGGCCGGGGTCTGCCCCCTGCGTGGCGCTGCGGGTGCTGGGAGTGTCGGCCAGGCCCGTGGCCGAGCCACGACCCTCCTCAAGCATCCCCTCAGTGGGGCCCACGAGCATCTGGGCGGTCCCCGGCCCCACCCTGCTTTCTTCAGGGCCACCCAATCATTCAAAATGAGGGTCCACCACGGGCCGGGCCCTGGTGTCCCAGCTCGGAACAAGGGACAACACGGGTTCGGGCAGCCGCCACCCAGGGCCGCGCAGCCTCTGAGGGGCCGCTGGGTGAAAGGCAGGGCTCCCGGCAGCTTGTCAGGAGGCCACCAGGGCTCTGCAGGAACACCTGGAGCAGGTTGGGGACCTGGGGCCCCAGAGTTGGGGGGGGCTTTCTCTGAATGGGGTGCTGAGGGCCACTGAGCGGGGGCCCAGGCACAGGAGGCCAGGGCAGGGCCGAGGGATGGCTGTGTGGGCCCCAAGGACGCCCTGAGAACCCTGAGGCGGACCTCTGGGGCCTCGGAGATGGGCCAGCCCAGCAGGGGAGGCGCCAGGCCCAGCCCCAGGACCCTGGAGGCGAGGACAGGGTCAGGGGCCGAGAGCTGTGAGCAGCAGAGTTGGTCGAGACCTGTGGGCCAGGGACTGCCCACTGCGGGGGGTGGGATGCAGCTCCCCCTCAGGCCCCTGCAGCCCCGCAGCCCCACCCCCACCCCCACCCCAGGAGCGGGAAACGGGGGGCAGCTGGAGCCAGACCAGGGCTGCCCTGGACTCAGAGGGGCAGGGGCCCTGCGGCCAGCGAGAGGAGCCGGCAGAAGGAGCCTCACCTGGGTGCTGGGCGCAGGCCAGGGCCAGGGCCAGGGCCCAGAGAGTAGCCACCTCCCTGTGGCCGACCCCCATGGTGCGGAGGAAGGGGAGAAGCCCAGCGGCTGCCTCTGAGGAGGGACCCGAGTCGGCAGGAGGCTTTTGTAGCCCCAGAGCTGGCCGCAGCCCCGGTGACTTCACCTGGGTGGGAGGGGCAGGCCCGGCTCCCCTCGTCCAGGTAAACAGTGGGCGCTGGCTTTGGGCTGGCCGGTGGCGGGAGCCAGGCAGAACTGAGCCTGTGTGCCAGGTGGGGGCGGGCTTGCTGAGGGCTCCCCACATCCCGGTCCCAGGCGTCCTCCTGCTGGACCCCCTCCCCCCAAGAGTTTCTCTGGGCTCCTGTCCCTGGCACCAGCCCCCGTGGTCCCTGGCACCCAGAGAGGCCACAGGTCCCCACGCCTCACGGAGGGCCAGCTTCGGCCTCACTGCAGACGGGCTCGGGGGCGGCCCCCCAGGGACAGGCCCTCCGCACTGTGCAGCCCCAGCCCAGTGCTGCTTTGGCCCCTGGCCCCGCTCGGGTGCCGGGCCGCTCGGCCCACACGTGGGCCTGTGGCTGTGAGGGGCTGGAGTGTCTGTGCCCACCCAGCGGGGAGATGCCCACACATCGGGTCTGCTCTGATGGACCCTGGCAGGGGAGGCTCCGCGGTGCAGGTCGCCCGGCCCCCACCCCAGGTGTGAGCACCGCATGGGGCGGAGGCCGGGCTCCCCTTCCTGCGCAGCCGCACACCCTGCCGAGGCAGTGGACTGCCCATGGGTAGGCCTGACCGGGAGGCCCTGCCTGGGGAGGGGGCGCAGGTCGGGGAGTGGGGGCGGCTGGGCTGGGGGCTGGGATCTGAGAGGCCTGACCGCTGTCCTGAGAATCCGCTTCCCACTCTCCAAGGGCCTCTCCCGACGTCCTCTGGTCACCTGGTTCCCTGTGTCTGAGCCGTCCCTGCCCCAGGACCCAACTTGGTCATTGTCCCTGGGGGAGAGAGCTGCTCACAGGTCCAGGACTGAATGAACGAGCGAGAGAGCGAATGAGTGAGCGAGAGAGCGAATGAGTGAGTGAGAGAGCGAGTGAGTGAGCGAATAAGTGAATGAGCAAATGAATGAACAAAAATGGATGAATGAATGAGTGGCGAATAAATGAGTGAGTGTGAATGAGTGAGTGAAAGGATGAGTGAAAGGATGAGTGAATGGATGAGTGAGTGTGAGTGGGTGAGTGGGTGAGTGTGAGTGAGTGAGTGGATGAGTGTGAGTGAGTGAGTGGGTGAGTGTGAGTGAGTGGGTGAGTGTGGATGGGTGAGTGGTGGATGAGTGAGTGGGTGAGTGTGGATGAGTGAGTGGGTGAGTGTGGATGGGTGAGTGGGTGAGTGTGGATGGGTGAGTGGTGGATGAGTGAGTGGGTGAGTGGATGGGTGAGTGGGTGAGTGTGGATGAGTGAGTGGGTGAGTGTGAGTGAGTGTGAGTGGGTGAGTGGCTGAGCGCTGGCCGGCGTGCGTGAGGAGAATGACGAGCGAGTGCACAGGAGAAGGGGCACGTGCAGGGTCAGGGGACTGAGCTGGAACCCGTGCCCCTCCTCAGAGCTGGACTCCAGGCCACCTGGTGCTGAGCAGCGCAGAGGTGAGCCTGAGGGGGCAGGCGAGGTGGACAGGTCTGGACGTTGGGGACCAGTGCCTGGGGGAGGCTCCCGGGCCTGCAGGCAGGGCCAGGGCCCGGCCAGCAGGGAGCATGAGTGACGAGGGCCGGTCCTCCGCATGCCCCAGAGAGGCCGGGAGGCGACGGGTCAGCCCGTGTCCGTGCTCCCAGAACAGGGACAGGCCTGGGAACACGCCACAACCCCTGACCCACCTGAGTCACCATCCTGGCCCTCAGAGGGGTCACACCCTGCATGCGAAGGCTGAGCTGACCCCTGGGCAGCTTGCACCCTGGGCACGCCCAGCACATAGCGTGACCACAGGACGCTGCCCAGGCCCCTGCTGGCCTCTGGGGTGGCCGCAACCGCCCGTGCCGGCATCTGAGCTGCAGCCCTGGCTGCACTGGGCGTCCTCCTTGAACCAGGCCACTGGGCCACAGGCCACCAGGCCACCCACCAGTCCCCTGAAAACCCAACCCAGACTGGGCCCCTCGGGAGGCCCAGGCCTGGTGCCTGCTCACAGTGAGGGTTCCGGCTCTTGGGGGGCCCACAGGGAGGGGTCCAGAGTCAGGGCTGGTGCGGGGCCAGTGACTGGGCTCAGAAAACAGCATCCTTCCCCGTGACCTTCCAAGCCCAGTGGAGGCTGTGGCAGCTGGGGGACAAGGGGTCCCTTAAAGTGGCCTGGCAGTGACCCTGCCCCCACCCACGGGGGCTTCACACTCAGGGAAGGGTGTTGCGGGGGGGAAAAAGAGGCTCAGGCAAGCCCCCACCTCTCTGAGCCTCAGTTTCCCCATCTGGAAGGGGGGTCACACCAGCAGGGAACTCACAGTCAGGGGCTGTGTGCAGGGAGCACCCGTGGGCGCACCCCGGCCTAAGGAGACTTTTTCCCAGGGTCCCTGGGGCTGCCCCACCTGGGCCTGGGTGGCTGCCAGACCCCGCCCACCCCCTACCCCACCCTCCACCGGATCTGATAAGCTCTTGGGCTGCTGGAGTCCAGGGAGGGGGAGAGGGCTGGGGTCCCGCCCTCCGGGAGCACCCAGCTGTTGCCGTGGAGACGGGAGGACAGGAGGATGTGGGGACGGGCGGAGGCCTTGGCGGCAGCCCAGAGTGTCGCTCTCGCTGTGACCCTATCGCTGACTCACTCGGGCGGTGCGATTTGGGACAGGAAGCGGCACCGGGCGGCCCTATCTGGACGCGTGCCGGACCAGCGCCAACCCTGTGAGGACGAGGTGCCCGCCAGCCCGCCTCTGGCCCTGTGTGGGGCTCCGCTGGCCTTGCAGGCTGGGGCCCCCCAGGGCCCCCTCTCAGGCACAGGTCAAGATGCGGCCTGGACCCCGGGACCCTGAGGGCAACAGAGTCCCCAGAGCTCTGTCCTCAGGTTCCTGCTGGGACAGAAGCAGCCCCCAGCCCCTCAGGGGTCCCCTCTCCTCAGGCTGAGCCACACGGGGCTGCCACCCACTGGGTGCCCCACCCCGGCTTCGGCCCTCCTGCTCCCCTGACACCCACCGGGGAAGCGGACAGCGAGGCCCCCGCTCAGCCAGCCCCGGCCTGGCCCCGACCCTGGCTCCAGCCTGACCCAGGCCTGTTGCGGGCCGAGGTGACGAGGGCAGGGGTACCTGGCCTGCCCCGGTGCCCGGTTCCTCCCCTCAGGTCACTTCTGTTCTGCTCTCTGGACACAGCAGAGGTCCTGACCCAGGGCTGGTGGGGTCACTGGGTTCCGGCCGGCAGGACCTGGGGGCTGGCGCAGCCCTGGGCAGGGGAGGGACCCCGTGGGGTGGGCGTTCTCCCTGCAGGGTGAGGAGGCCAGCACGGCACGGAGACTCGTTCTGTCCCCACTCGGGGCTCCTGGAGGCAGAGAGTCCCCCACAGTGGGGTGGACGGCTGGCCGTCTCCTGGGTCCCCTGGGCCTGACACCAGCCGGGCTCCGTCTCGAGCAGCCTCTCATTGTCCAATCAGTTCAGACCTTAAACCCCAAAGCCCGTGTGGTAGGAGCGGGTCACACCCACTGCGTGGGGGACACGGGTGGGAGACGCCTGGCCGGGGGTGGCGGCGGCACCTGCACCCAGAGCCGGGGCTCCGCCCTGGGAGCAGGAGGCACCTCGGCTCCGTGTCCCCTAGCTGCGCGGCCCTGGGCCTCGGGCTCCTCATCCGAAAGCAGCAACCGTAGGACCGTCAGCCTGGGGACCTGGGGACCCGGGGACCAAACCAGTGGACGCAGCAGCCAAGCGTCCCCGAGGCTGTGTGTGGCCCCGGGAAGGGCCCCTGCCCACCCACAAGACTGCTGCGCTGAGGCCTCGCGGAGCTCCGGCGCCATCTGAGTGACAGGCAGGGGACACTGAGCAGTGACTCCGCACAGTTTGGGGGCGTGGCCCTGCCCTGCCCTCCCCACCCCGGTCCGTGGGGCCTCAGCACGGGCAAAGTGCGGCCTCTCTGTGTCCTGGAGGCCCCCAGAGTCGAGGCGCGACTGCCCACCGACGGTGGCTGAGTGTCCAGGCCACAGATACTCCTCGTGTGTGGGGACAGGGGCCCCCCCCACCCCCTACAATCTCCTGTGGCCACTTGGAGGTCTGGGGAGGGGTCCTCGAGTCTCCCCGTGTGATGGGGAGGGAGGCGGAGACACCGAGGGCTGCCCTCCCACCAGCAGGAGGAAGTGGGCGCAGGGGCTGGCGGGGGAGGCCCCGCCCCCAACGGCTTGGTGGGGGGGGGGAACTCTGGCCTCTGTTGACAGAGGGCAGTGCGGGCTGCCGCTGTCTCTGAGCCAGAGCCTCCCCAGAGGGGGAGGCACCCAGGCCCCTTCTGCTTTGCTCCGGGGCCGAGGGAGAGCCATCCGGGTGCCCATGGGCAGAGCCGGCCTCCGGCCCTGTGCTTGCGGCACCCTCTGAGTTGCCGGGAAGGGGAGCGGGGTGATTGGGTTTCGTGGCAGGGTGCCTGCTGGGGGGCCCGGTGTGCGTGCGTGTGCCCGTCTGAGTCACTGGGCAAACAGGGTCCTCCCAGGCCCCGAGGCTCTGCCCGCCCCCCCTCCCCTGCCGGCTCCCGGCCACAGCGAGGCCCTGCCTGATTCTGCATGGGCTCCCCGGCCCCCCTGCCCAGGCCCGGGAGGGCCGCTGGGCCGGGGTCCCTCCCCCTGCCTGGGTTCAAAGGTTGCTTGGCCCCTCCCCCACACCCCCTTCCTCAGGGACACCCCCATCTCCCAGGCCCCTGTGGAGGCCACAGCTCCCCCCACAGGTGCTCCTAATATGCCATTAATTTCGGAGTGGGGCGCTGTTCACAGACTGGACCCCCCTCCCAGCATGAGGCCAGTGTCCTCTCGCCCCTGAGCCTCTGACCCCAGGCGCTGTGATGGGGGCCCCCTGTCTGCGGGTTGTCCCCTAACACTGAGCACACATGTGTCCTCCCAGCCTCCCCCACAGTCTGGGCACCGAGGGGTCCGGGAGGGGCTCTCAGGATCCCCCCCTTCCACCCCTAAGGGGCCGCTGCCGCCCTGCAGCCCGTTTGCCTGGGGC